TCGCGGAAGGATAACAGAATTTGTATATATGTTTATAGAGATATGCATACATGTATGAATACAGGGGTCTTTAGGAAAAAAATGAAAAATGTTGGAAAAATTATAAAACAACTTCAATTTCACTTTCTTTCTTTTTTAATCTCAAGAACCAAACAGAGCACCTAGGGTTCGCCATCTTTGTGAATTTCTGTTTCATCATTTTTGCACCCATTTGCCAATCTACCTTGGTCAATGAGTGTGAAGCATATTACTGTTTGTTGATGTTTGAATATTGGTTCATTTTTTCCATTAACATAGCCCTAACACAGAAGCTTAATTGGAACAACTTTGGGTCTTCCAAGAACTTCTTAATTATCTTATTTCATTCACGGGATATATGTTTATTTATATATGTTTATAGAGACATACATGTGTGATTTATAGGCCTTTAGATTGTGTAAGGGGAGCTAATTTGAGCCCACTAAATTAATTAGGCCCAATAGCCCAAGGTTGGTGGGTCCGAATTTATCGCAAGTCCAAGATTGGTGGGCCCGGATTTATCGCCATCAAACGGGCCGAATCGCTCTAAGTCTCAAAAGGGTTCGGATCCACGAACTTAGAGACTTACTCGCGCCCGAACTCGAAAGGGTTTGCATTCACGAACCTAGAGATCTAAAGCACTTGGCTTCGAACGGATTCAGACGCAATCTAGAAGCCGCTCCATTAATGAGTCCCAGAACACTTGTGGGATTGGAGCTTTCCGGGATCTACGCACCAAAACCATGGGCGTAATGGAGTTCGAACAAAGGACCCGATCCTGAGGACTATGAGTGGAGATAAATTCACTCTTCGGTTAAACTAGCCTATACCCGGGTCGAGGTGGCACGACCCTGGGGGGTCCATGAGACTCTACAATATTTGCGGCAGGGTGTTCTCTTGAACTACCCTTGACCCTTCTATGGCAGTGCATCCTCTGGGACTACCCTTGACCCCTTTGGGATGATTGGGGATCATTGGTTAGGTATGGCTAAGAAAAAAGGTTCACCGAGAGGTTGATCTCCTCTTTGAGGGTTTTCTTCATCCTCAGAGAGGTCACCTTCTTGGACAAGGTGGTTAGAGAGAATATTCCCCATGTGCAAAGCATGGGCCTCATCCTACATCATGAGGTGCTTATAAATAGCACCCACCCATAGCTTTACAAGGGATGAATTTTGGAGAGACAACTCTTCGGAAATAACTAATTTCCCTTCTCCATATGGATTTTGGAAAGATAACTCTTGGGAAAGAACTAATTTCCCTTCTCCATTATCAACTTTGAGAGTGAAAGTGGGAGATCCATAGGAGAGCCTTGCCATTATTCTTTCTATAACTATTTTTCCTTCTTCTTCACCCAATCTCTTACCTCCATCATCTCTTTGCTTTTGTGTTCTTAGTTGTGACTATTGAAGAATCTAAGCCTCTCATCGTTTTCTAGAGAATTCGAATTTTTCTTCGAAGATCTTCGAATTTTCTAACGACGTTCTTGAACCCCCTCATATATTTGGCGACTTTGCTGGGAAGGTGGATTGGTTAATGGTCTCAACGAGATCTGGAACCCACACAACTCCGGCAAAGATGGCGGAAGAAGATGAAGTTCACCAACAAGGATCCTCTGATGGTGGCGATGACAGGACCATGACTCCAGATCAACCACTTTTACTCGAAGCCATTCAAGGACTTCAAAATACTCAGCAGGAGATTCTTACCACTCTGCAAAATCTCACTCACACCATGTTGGTGATAAGTTCTAATTTTTCACCAGTGCCAAATGGAAATCAAACTGACGATGGAGTTATCCCCGCCAGAGTGCAAAATCAAATCCAAAGAGAAGTAGGCCCCAGTCAGCCTATGGCTCATGGCAACATAACCGCAGTAACAAATGCTCAAACCACAGTAGGTGGCAGCAGTTTTCCCACGCCCAGGCTCCATGGCGTGCCAAGCCAAGATCCAATGGTGGCTAGGGGAGGTTCTGGTGTAATGAATGGCGCTTCGGTGACTGTTGGTGTCCAGGCAAATATAAGGGGCATGATGGCGCAAAAGGGTGCTCTATCCATACCTAATCTTGTTCTATCACCAATAAATGTTACTCACATAACGAGTAGGCCTCTTTTGGTGCCGATAACAAATTTCCAAGCCCAACCCGGTATAGCTGCGACATACAGTGGACCTTATGGACCTCAATTCAATGTCCCATCACCAACTGGCTTGTCCATAGGTGTCGATGGCCAGTATCTTCAAGTGTCTTCACCAATGATGAACTCTCAACACCAAAATGGCCAAGCCGCTCCTAACTTAGTCTTCGGGTCCATAAGCCAAGTTCCGAGAATGCCACCATCAAACTCTCTCCCTTAATAATTTCTTACTCTTGCCAATGTGCAAGCTATGTTCGATCTTGAATGGGGCAAGAAGACTTTACCCTCTTTACCCGACCCGGATGTCAAGCCACCATACCCTATTGAGATGCTGAGCTGTCCATACCCTGAGGCGTATACGGTGCCGAAGTTCATCAAATTCAATGGCAAACAGGGAAATGCTCAAGAACATGTTGTGTGGTTCATCAAGACTCTGGGTATTCATGGTTCAAACCATGTCCTCTGACTGAGAGAATTTTCTAAGTCCCTCACTGACTGAGCATATAGTTGGTATGTTAACTTGGCCCCAAACTCTATCCGAAGTTGGGAGGAGATGATCAACAAATTCCATGCCAAGTTCTTTCAAGTGGCTGAGAAGGTGACCACACTTACATTATGTAAGGAAAAACAATGAGGAGGTGAGGACATCCTTGACTACGTCAAAAGGTTTCAAGACAAAGCTGTGGATTGCCATGAAGCAGTGGATGAAAACTATTTGGTCCAAATTTGAGTTGAAGGGGCATTGAACGGGTACAAGATGCTTTTTGTTAATCACAAGCTACCTATATTTTCGGCACTAATTGAAACATCTCGGAATATCAACATACCTCAGTCTCAGGAGATCGGGTTCAAGGCTAGTTATAAAACCAGCTTCAAGTCATCCCGATGACCTTCTGTCACTGCGACTTCCACGTCTTCTACCTGAAAGTCGTAAGGGGAGGAATTCAGAGGTCAAAAGAGAAAAAATCGCAAAGATGATACTCCTTTTCCGTGTAGTGTTGAGGAAGTAAAGGCCTTAGTTAAAGAATGGGTAGCAGATGGGGAATTAAAGCTGCCTCGTATCGAAGAAATTTTTCCAAAAAAGGACCGTGAGGGCTGTAATTATTGTGTTTTCCACCGATCACTAGAACATCCTACAGAAAAGTGTCAGACAATTAAGAAGATCTTTAGAAAGAAAGTCGAAGAAGATGAGCTAGAATTCAAAGAACAGAGGATATCTTAGAAGACGTGTTTGTAATGACGTATGATGGCCATAACTCGAACAGTTGGTAAAAGCTTTCTGAATGATCTCGCAACTCTAAGGAGAATGGTTGAAATTCCGGAGAAGAAGTCTATCTATGATATTTACAATTTATATTTACGGCATTGTTCAAGAAGTTCTATCTTTCCTATGTTATGAAGAAATTTATTTCCTCCATATTGTGTGTCTCCATTAGAAGTTTATTTTCTCTATATTGTGTATCTTTATTGTTATATTGCTTGCCCCTCGAAGAAGAAAGAGGAAAAGTAGACTCAGTTGCCAACCTGAAGGAACCTTTCTTGACGCAGTAGAAGTGTACTTTCACTCGGACTTCTGAGGGACAACCTTTGCTTCAATTAGTAGCCGAAGTAGAGTGTACTCCCACTCGGACTTCTGAGAGACAGCCTCCATTAGTTGTCGAAATAGTGTGTACTCCCACTCGGACTTCCAAAAAGCAGCCTTTACTTTCATCAGTGCAAGCTTCGAGGGTCTTTCTTGCTGAAGCAGAGTGTGTGTTCCCACTTGTACTTTCAAAGAATACCCCTTGCTGCCATCAGTGCGAGTTTCGAGGATCTTTCTTGTCGAAATAGAGTGTACTCCTACTCGGACGTTCGAGGGACAGCCTTTGCTTCCATTGATTGCCAAAGAAAGGAGTGTGCTTCCACCCGGGCTTCTGAGGGACAATCCTTGCTTTCATTTGGACTTCCGAGGGACAACCTTTGTTTCAATCAGTGCAAGCTTTGAGGATCTTTCTTGCTGAAGTAGAGTGTGTGCTCCCACTCAAACTTTCGAAGAACAGAGCTTGCTTCCATCAGTTCCTCGAGACTCAGTTGCCTGCCAGAAGGGATCTTTCTTGCTAAAGTAGAGTGTGTGCTACTTTTGGACTCTTGAGGGACAGCCTTGCTTCCGTTTGGACTTCTGAGTGATAACCCTTGTTTTCATTAGAACGGGTTTTGAGGACCCCGGGGTCGTGGAGTTCTCACCTACACTTTCGAGGATCAGCCCTTGCTTCCATTTGGACTTCCAAGGGACAACCTTTGTTTCAATCAATGCAAGCTTTGAGGATCTTTCTTGTTGAAGTAAAGTGAGTGCTCCCACTCAGACTTTCAAAGAACAAAGCTTGCTTCCATCAGTTCCTCGAGACTCAGTTGCCTGCTAGAAGGGATCTTTCTTGCCAAAGTAGAGTGTGTGCTACTTTCGGACTCCTGAGGGACAGCCTTGCTTCCGTTCGGACTTTTGAGGGACAGTCCTTGCTTTCATTAGTGTGGGTTCTAAGGATCCCGGGTTCGTACAATTCTTATAGGAATTCATTCACCTCAAATAACAAAACCGACAAACCAAATAAACAATATCGAGTTCAGATTATGATTCAAGCGTTACCGAAATAAAGGCGACATCAACAATAATAATGAGCAACTTATGTTACAACAATTTTATTCCTCCAAGCAAGTTCATGAAAGATGCAACAATAACAATCAATGTTTTGTCTCTCCCTCTCAAGCCGATGCAAAGCTACAAAGTTCAAATCATGATTACATTCTCTCTCAATACTAATCCTTTGTTTTTAACATCAGGCCTCTATGTATGTCAAGATTATCGACACAGGTCCAAGAATCAACAAGGAGCACTAGTTATTTCAGGATAAAAAAAAATTACAAGATTCAAGATCCAAATAAAATTTTCACCGAAGTTCACAAATTTAGAGTTCATCAGAGTATGAGGTTCATCAGAAAAAACAGAAATGCAAGAAGAAAAAGGAAGAGGGCTTTGAGCAAAGATTCAACTAGATCTTGAAGTCCAAAAATCAATAAATCTGAAACAGTGAAGGGAATGGAATTAGTTAAGTGAAAATCAAAGCCCATATATATATATATATATAAAGAGCTCACTCACAGATTTGGGGCAATCAAGAAGATGAAGCCAATTGAATGAAGACAAGCCGAGGGAGAGCAAAATGACACGAGCGCCACCAAAGTAAGCAAATGCCGAAGTTGGTGGTCCCAAATTGGCGAAGCAGCTGGGTAGACCAATGCCGCATTGTGTAGGCGGCGTGGTCGGCATTGGTCAGTCACGACTCGAAGCAGTGGTAAGGCTGCAAGTCACGGACGAAAAGCAACCAGGCTGTGTGAGCTGGCTGGTCGCCTGCGCAGGTAGGGCCGCAGCTGGCTCTCACGAAGAAATGATAAATCTGCAAATAATATTTTGTGCGATAGAGTACTGAAAAATGCTAAGAAGACTGGTGTTGTAACAGAGCTTTGGCAAGGGACAGCGACGCACCAACGGTGGGTATACCTCGTCAAAGAGTAGGTCGACTGACGTTGTATGGAAAAAGAAATTGAAATCTGAATCTGATATCCCAAATAAAAAAAATAAATAAATAAAAGCAAAGGGAAAGGTTTAATTTTGATGGTCCCTCAAGTGTGCTAAGGATGTATATATATATATCCAAATATTCTAGAGAATCTACATATTTGAAATTGTGTAAGTTAAAGAAAAAACAGAGTCAATTTTGACTAAAAAACAATGTGGGCCTTATTTTCCAAGAATAAAAAATGAAGGATAATGGGTGCTTTATTTTTTTCTTGGCAAAATTGCTTCGTAGCTTGAAACAGGTGGCTCGAAATGGCCCGAAAAGCACTTTTTTTTCTCACTCCTCCCTATCTTTGTGCTTTGCCTTCCTTTCATCGCCTTTATTCTACTGTCTATCTTCTCGATACAAAAAAACACTCTATGTTCCCTCATCCCTCTCATTCCCCAGATCTAATAGAAGAAATAGTAGTTCTTTTGATCCTATGGAAGAGAGAAAGAAGCAGGTTTTCTTCAAAGAGTCTCAAAACAAATACAAGAATTTTGTGAAAACCTTAGCGTCATCAGTTGGGTCTTCATCGAAGATATCCAAAGCGGAGAAATCATCCTTAGAAAATTGAGGAATCCTCACGAAGGGGAAAAGCAGGTTCGGCGCTTCATAGGCTCATGGGATATTCTTCCCCAAGTGAAGTAATTGATAGCTGATGAGAAAGTTTGATTGGCAAGTCTTGCTTTGTTTGTAAATTTTGTTGTACAGGTAAGAAATAAGATTAAATATGTAGTGTTTTTGAAATTATATATAGTAAAGAAGAGACCTAAAAATTTGATTGTTGTAAATCTAAAGTAAAGTCTCAATATTTAGTGCATTAAAATGTCAAACTATGCTTGATATATATATATATATATATGGATTGATTTACAGAAGGATCAATAAAGTTTGTTTCTTCAAAATTTTCAAGAGATGCACCAACTTAAGAGGAGAGAGGTGACCTTGCCTAGAGTAATTAGGACTGGATTTAACAATTTTCTATAAATCACGAAAGTAATATAGGAGGAGCTCTTTTTTCTTTATATTTCTTTCCAGTGTAGCAAGTCATATATAATCTATAGCTACATTAAGTAGGTGCTGGAAATTCAACAGTTGCATAGCCTTGGTGAACAAAAGATAAAGTTGCAAAGAGATCTACTTGTCAATAAAGGGCATCAATGGTGTTAAACATGGAATGGTAGTTTATCAAACATTCTATGAGTTCAAATTTTCTTATCAACACCCTTCCGCACACACACAGCAACAGCAACAGCTTCGTCAGCGGCACACAGGTCAGCTCCTCTCTCTCTACTCTCTGAACAGTTCAATCGGTGCTCCTCTTCTCTCACTGTTTACCGAATGGGTCTCCTCTCTCTCTCTCTCTCTACTCTTTATTCTTTTCTTCTTCTTTTTTTATTTTAAATGAAATATGTGGGTGAAAATAGAGATGGGGTTGTACAAAGAAATGGGGGTATACAAAGAATGTTGGGCCATTCGAGTTCATTATTTTTGAGCTACAAATTGCTACTATTTTCTTGGAGTGGAGAAGTATTCTGATAAGTGCCTTATTTTTTCTTGGAGTGAAAAAAAAAAATATCAGATGTTCTATAAAAAAATCTGTGGTTAACAAAAAAAAAAATTATTAATCGTCGATTTTATCCATAAATCATGATGGGTTATCAATCTTATCTAAAAGCTACATGAAGACAAAATATTCCCGGCGGCGTGATGTGAAGCATGGCCGAAGAAATGGAGATATGCATGTCCAAGAAATTCAAAATTTCTCATATATGCAAGAGGCAAATGTAAGAGGAGCTAATTTGAGCCCACTAAATTAATTAGGCCTAATAGTCCAAGGTTAGTTGGCCTGAATTTATCACAAGTCCAAGATTGGTGAGCCCAGATTTATCGCCATCAAACGGGCTGAATTGCTCTAAGCCTCGAAAGAGTTCAGATCCACGAACTTAGAGACTTACTCGGGCCTAGACTCGAAAGGCTTCGGATCCACGAACCTAAAGACCCAAAGCACTTGGCTTCAACGGATTCAGATGCAATCTAGAAGCCGCTCCATTAATGAGTCCCAGAACACTTGTGGGCTCGGAGCTTTCCAGAATCTACGCACCAGAACCATGGGCGTAATGGAGTTCGAACAAAGGGCCCGATCCCGAGGACGATGAGTGAAGAGAAATTCACTCTTTGATTAAACTAGCCTATACCCGGGTCGAGGTAGCACAACCTGGGAAGGTCCATAAAACTCGACAATATTTGCGACAGGGCATTCTCTTGAACTACCCTTGACCCTTCTGCGGCAGGGTGTCTTCTGGGACTACCCCTGACCCCTTTGGGATGATTAGGGATCATTGGTTAGGTATGGCTAAGAAGAAGGGTTCACCGAGAGGTTGATCTCCTTTTCGAGGGTTTTCTTCATCCTCAGAGAGGTCACCTCCTTGGAAAAGGTGGTTAGAGAGAATATTCCCCATGTGCCTTGCACATGGGCTCCATCCTACATCATGAGGTGCCTATAAATAGCACCCACCTATAGCTTTACAAGGGATGAATTTTGGAGAGATAACTCTTAGGAAAGAACTAATTTCCCTTCTCTATTATCAACCTTGAGAGTGAAAGTGGGAGATCCATGGGAGAGCCTTGCGATTAAACTAGCCTATACCCGGGTCGAGGTAGCACAACCTAGGAAGGTCCATAAGACTCGACAATATTTGCGACAGGGCATTCTCTTGAACTACCCTTGACCCTTCTGCGGCAGGGTGTCCTCTGGGACTACCCCTGACCCCTTTGGGATGATTAGGGATCATTGGTTAGGTATGGCTAAGAAGAAGGGTTCACCGAGAGGTTGATCTCCTCTTCAAGGGTTTTCTTCATCCTCAGAGAGGTCACCTCCTTGGAAAAGGTGGTTAGAGAGAATATTCCCCATGTGCCTTGCACATGGGCTCCATCCTACATCATGAGGTGCCTATAAATAGCACCCACCTATAGCTTTACAAGGGATGAATTTTGGAGAGACAACTCTTGGGAAATAACTAATTTCCCTTCTCCATATGGATTTTGGAGAGATAACTCTTGGGAAAGAACTAATTTCCCTTCTCCATTATCAACCTTGAGTGAAAGTGGGAGATCCAAAGGAGAGCCTTGCCACTATTCTCTTTATAACTATTTTGCCTTTTTCTTTACCCAATCTCTTATCTCCATTATCTCTTTGCTTTTGTGTTCTTAGTTATGACTATTGAAGAATCTAAGCCTCTCATCATTTTGTAGAGAATTAGAATTTTTCTTCAAAGATCTTTGAATTTTCCAATGACATTCTTGAACCCCCTCATACAGATTGCAAGTAAGAAAAACTGAAAAATGGTTTAAATTAGATGAAAAGATTATAGAAACAGCTTGATTTCACTTTCTTTCTTTTTATCTCAAGAACCAAACAGAACACCTAGCGTTTACCATCTTTGTGAATTTATGTTTCATCCATTTTTTACCCATTGGCTAATACAACTTATCACATGACAACATATATATGTCACAATTGGTTTTCCATTTTTGATTGATATAACAATAGAATAGTGTTGAATATAGTAACCTGTTTGAGGAATTTCCTCTAAGATGTATTGCCAACTACTCTATGCCATGATCAGATTGACTTTGTTAGGTTGGGTTCTATTCTTTTGTAGACAATCATCTAAAAGGGGAAACAATGAACTACAAGAAGGTAGAACTAGAGCTAAAAAGGAAAATTTTCTCTTTGAGGTGCAATTATCACTTAGCAATTTGGATAGTAGCACAATCACCATCCCTTAGGAAACTACAGAAAAGTATTTCCTTGCTGCTTATACAGGAACTCATCGGGAGATCAATCTTCAATTTTCTAATAAATATACCAATCAATGGTGTATGAAACTCTCATTCTCGCCACAGCCTAGTGTCAACTTGGTTATACATGGATGGTTAGAGTATTTTGGTGCACACAATTTGAAAGCTATGGATTTGCTTCGCTTTTACAAACCTCTGCCCCAGCCTTTTCATAACCATCATTGCCCTCGGTAGGAGGTAGAAGACGTTGCACCGTCTCGGTCAAAGCAAAAATTTGCCGTCTCATCTCGGCCATCTCATCTCTTGGATACGGAATCCCATTACCCCCATCATGATCACCCAAATCTGGGATATAAATGTTGTGAGGCCACCCTATGTGAAATGGGTGATCATTTTTCTTCTTCTAGGCTGTTCAACAATGAAGGCTGGCTCAAGTCAATGAGTAGGTGATCAGCTCCACCAAAAGTGAAGAAAGAATGAGCCTTCCTCTTGCCATTTCTGACTTCCACCAAAAGGAGATGGAAGTCTTGGTGGGTTTGTCCTTCTCTCTTTCTCATCCTTGTGTATAAATAAAGAAAAAGTGAATAGATGATGTGTGTGAGAAATCCTAAGAGTGAGAAAAATGTAGAGAGGCAGAGAAAAAAACAAAGAGACCCTCTGTGGCAGAAAAGGAGCTCCCTCGGTATGAGAGGGGAAGCTAAGTGTTGAGTTAAGAGAGAGAGTCTTCTCATCCATTGTATTATCTTTGTAATCTCTCCATTGTTGTAGTGATATTGGTTTCTCTCCCGTGGACGCAGGCATTAGGCCGAACCACGTTAAATATTTGTGCCTCTTTTGTGTGTGTGATTACTGGTTGTTCATTTTCTGGGTATCCATAATCCTAACAAAGTGGTAACAGAGTCAGTTTTGTGCGTTTTTCAAAAAACAGAGTGTGTTTTTCAAAAATTGCTCAGAAATCAAAGTGGTCGAAATCCACTTTTGATCAGACCAGGTTGAAGCTCTCGACGAAACGAGTACATAGGAAAAAACCTCATAAAAAATGGATGTCAAAGTAGGAAGCACGCACCCCACGCGCATCTAACGCCATTCTCACGTGTCGGAGACTGATCACATGCGTTTCACGCGCGAAACTAGAGAAGAAGACGACCCTTTTGTTTTTATGTAATAAATACCTATTTGTGAAGGTATTCAACACAAATCTTGTGTTGGCAGAATGTCAAAGCCCAGGTGTAGATGCTGGAAGTCAAGAGTTCAAAACTCCTTA